AACCCACCTTCTACACCTGCAAGCCCAATATCTATCACTACCTCTACTGTTCTTCCTAAGCACGAACATAGGTAAAACTTTCAAGCAGGTGGATTTAACGATCCAGTACAAGATCCGTGCGGACGTGCGTCTCTACAGACGCAGGCCTAAGTAGTCTATCCCACCGGAACGATTCTCGTAGCATCGACAGGAATTGTAGCAGTAACGCTTTCCCAATTGAATTTTTCTAATGTTGTATTTAAAAAGATGATCATCATTTAGGCGAGGAGCTGAATGTTTGCACTTTTGATCTGTGCATCCAACGAGTACAGAGCTGTAAGGCTACTTTCTATCTGCATTCACTTATCTCATACAAACCTCATGGATGCATGTACATGCATCGTGCATATCATACTTTCGGAATTCTGGTGGACTTTATCGAGCATTTTACCGGTTACAACTATCGGGAATAGTTGTAACCGGTAAAAAAGAATTAGGATTCAATTTCCGACACGGAGCCTAAAAAGTAGCACGCGCTCAACCCTGGTACGGGAAGGTGGTGACAAAAAGTGACAACGCGCAACTCTATTGAGATCGTTATAATGAGTGCGTGCCAAATCCTTCAATGAGGAGTTATTAGCGGGCAAGTCATGCTAACCTCAGCTCCAATAAAGTATATAAAATCGTTTCGTCTAAAAAGTTCATCGTAGTGTCTCTCTCTTTTTATGTCGCATCGGTTGTAGAGATTTATTAACTGGTACCAGAATTTCGAATAATTCATTAAGTACACGGTATTAGCAGACGAAATTTGTTAAATATGTAAATGTATACAAAATTCCTGGTAAAATAACGATCTATAATAAAAAAAAAAAAGAATATCATTAACGAATAATCATTTTGGGTAAAGATATTGTTTAGGGGCTGATCAGTGATTAAGCTTCCTCTTTCTTAAAGTTAAAAAGCGGTACTGGAGTCCATCGAAGGTTATCGAGAACAATGAACAAATAAACCTTCGACCAGACAACAGTTTTTGTTACCGGCGAAATACTTTCAAGAACCGCAATTGCGAGATTGACGCCTACATCTTAGGGCCTTGAACAAAAGGACGAGTTAATTTAGTCAAGGGATCTTTTACACAAGGCAGAGCATCGACAATGGGGATTCCTGTCGGTTCAATATAAAAATCATTGAAGTACCTATTTGAAAGTTGTCCACAAATAGAGGAAATGCAGATAATGAATTCCTCATCAATTTAAAGGCAAACTTCATATGTATTCTGTAAATAATTTGTGTAGTTTCGACCGACAAAAAATATCTGGCGCACACTGTCGCCACAGACGAGACATGGCTTAGTTTGTGCCGTCCATGAGAGACCAGAGATCAGGTGTGGAACAGCGTGGTGAAGTAACCTCAATAGCAATGGGGGCGGGTAGATCCGGACGTAAATCGGTGATTATACGTTGCAATAGACGTCAGAGCACTCACTGGCTGTTACCAAAATCAAATGTTTAATACTACCGGATATTTCGAATTTCTGAAGAGCCTCATAAATTCGCAACGCAGTAACCGTCAGTATACAGAATTTGGCTACTCGATGACAACGCAGGATTTCGTTTGTGCGATTCAATCAGGAACAGGGAATCGCCCGATGACTTCAGGTCCTCTAATCTTCGTGTGATTTCAATTGCTTCCATGCCTTAACGAAGGCGATACGTAACGTAGCATATCCTAGAAGTACTAATAAGGACATCAGTTAACAGTGTTACAAATCGCAGATGGCAGATATTTAGAGGAGATATATATATTATAGAGATAGATTGGATTGACGCTATCATGGTAGGTGTATTGGGGAGCGCCTGAGATCTTTGCGAGAGGAATCGGCACCTACGGCACACGATGCGAACTTTCTCCGCGTACGATTTCAACAACAATGTCACAGATATGTTAAGCACACGATTCATGCGGATGAGTGAGAGCAACGACTCATTCAAACTAAACAGATCGAAGATTCGTTTTAATCGAAACGTTTTCGCCATTCATCCATCACCTGTCTGGTATCTTCTTTGCTCTACGTGAGTTCTTCTATGTTGCACGATGTCTTATCTATAAAAAATTAAATGTAATCTCATATTCAATATTACTCACGTTCCAAGCAGATCTTTAAATTCATACTTGTCCGAAATGTTATCCTTGGAAAAATGTTCCGAACAGGATACGGCAGGGGTAGCCGATTTGTTCTCCTTGTTGCAGTCGTTGTTAGCCGCCGTATCATTGTTTGAATGGCCGTCGGGGCTTGCGTTTGACGACACGGACTTCTTGCTGCCGCGCGTCGAGTCCTTCTTGCCGAACAGAGGCATATTGTAGAGGCTACTGGAGCTGGATGCCTCCACGGACAAACAACAGACAACGAAACAAGGGGCCGCCTGCCGCCACCTTGGCTGCTGACCCCGGCTGTCGCGCCTACTTTGGTAGCAGCTGTTGTCAGCTCAATATATTTTGCACCGCTGGATAGGTACCGTGGCTGTGCCTTTGGCAGTAAAGCCTTTGCCCTAGCCGTAAGCCCCACTGCCGCGATACTTGAACTGCCCGCGAATCGTCACGTAGCGACCAGCTGAAAGTGCTTCTTCGCCGTAGCGCTGGTCGTCGAAGCAGCAGCTGCAGCAACAGCTGCAGCAACAGCGATAACGGCAGCTCAGAAGGCGGTGAAGGTCTGCAGCAACAGAGGACGTAACAAAAGGGTTACAACGAGGCCGATTGAAGTCGTCCGTTACTTTGTCAAAGGTCGTATGGCTGTGACTTTGGCGACCAATATGTATCAGTCATGTATACAGTGCATGAATAAACAAACTAATACACTTGGTATGGTCCATTGATTTTGACGGAGTTCGCTGTTGTCGTTACTGCTACGGTTGTTGTTGTTGTTGTGGTAGCAGTAAAAGCGACTTTTGTGTTTATTTTATAACAGCTCGAATGTGAGCGTTCACACGAGACACTCTACTGGGTTAATTTGTTAAGCGGTTATCTCGATGTAGTGCCTACAATGATAATGATGCCTGATGTTTACACAAGAAGAGCACTAGGTAATGTACGCTACGAATAGACATCAGTCACACTATGTTAGAATGATTCACTCATGACCCATCACACAAGACAAGCACAAGGACATTTACGATAGCATCTTTTTGAGGTAGTGCCAACAATTCCAAGGACGCTGCAAACACTACGGTAATTCTGTTATCACTATCACTCACTATGCGTGGGCCATCATCACTGTGCCGCGCGGTTTCCTAGACTCCCTTCGCTCTCATCAACACTTTAGACAACACATCCGGATGATGGGACTCCCCGGCTTCTTCATATACGCTCTCTCCTTCTATTGATCTTTTTCCTCTGTCTTTTTCGCTGTCGTTTATTCGAATATGGCGCTCATACTTCTTCGCAGTTACAGCAGCAGTGGTACATGGCGATTACAGGAGAAGTCGTAGGCTCGAGGAACCGATTCACTTCGACTTCTCACACAGAGTTCAGCCGCGTCTGGTTAGCCAAAATAATGGAGACAATGACAACCGGCCAATGATAGCAGAGGAAAAAAAAACGCTGATGTTTCAGAGCTGCATAGTACTAACGCGAATTGTATTGTTGTAGACTGTCTTTTGGCAACCAGTGCTAATTCCAGTGTTTTGGAAAACGTACCATCGCAAATAGAGCAGGACCTCTAGGACACGACACTGTCGAATCCCTTACTGTTTTCGTCCTTTTTTCGTCGTCCTTGATAAACAGGCAGACACACAGCTGCTCCCTTTCTCGGTCCACAACACTCTCCAGACTAAGATACTACGGCGGTTGCCGCCACCGTCAACAGCGGCCAGGAACAGAAAGCCAGCGAGTGATGGCCGGCACCGTCTGAGAGAACCGCTCGACAACTAATGTTCACTCCACTGAGTGCTCATATAGGGAACCACGAGTCGAATTTAGCGAGGGCATTCTCCTTTCTAAAACTTGTGTTTGGCTCTTAGGTAGCCGCTGTCACTGCTTCTGACGATCATAACGATGGTGCTGCCGTTGTTCGAGCGTGGGGGGATAAACACTAGAAGACGTGAAAACGAATTTTTTTTAACCCTTTGTTGGTGGAATCGCCGCTGTTGCCCTTCCTATGGCCTTTCGTTATGTTTTGCTGGTTTCATTAAGCTAGAAGAAAAGCAAGGTTATGGGATGCTGCTACTGTCTACCACAGATAGATAGACAAAACCACACTGAGATAGGTACCGCCACATTCAACAAATGCCGATTGAATCAGCCGATTTTAAGCCGGTGGAGCACAACCGTCGTCGGATGCTCCCTGCCCAGCCAGGCAAGACTTGACCTAGTGTGGAAGGTTGCCAAACGACAAGTCTTTGACAGCCGCTTTCTCTGCTTGCGCCTCTACTCGCCGTGCCGCGGCTAATTCCACAGACGGTCCCGTTTATCCTTGTATTCCTTCCTGATCAAATGGACACAGATACCATGGACCTAAGCAAGCGTTTCCTTGACGACCACGACCACCGCCAACGCTGAACTTGTGCACGATACTATCTCCTTTTAGGAGCACTGCTGTGTCGCTCCAACTGCTAAGGCTGCGGCTGCTGTCACATCAGCAGGGTCCACCAGTACCACCACTACCAGTGGTGCGCTCACAGCTGCGCTCTGGTCGCTCGTTGTGGTGCCGCTGCTGCTCCGGTGACTGCTGCCGCCACCTCATCGCCAGCCAACGCTGCCTCATAAGCCGCTCTTTAGTGGTGGATACTGCTGACGCCGCTTGTCATTGCCCTCGCATCAGCGACGAGTAGTGGGCTCCGTTTCCTCTCCCTCCGCCAACTGCGTATTGATGGTGGCGCCCCCAGACGACGTCCGACTCAAGCCAACTTGAGCGGGACGCGAGGGCGACGCGTTAGAGCCAACGGACCGACTGCCGACACCATCGCCGCCGGCTGGTCAGTCAGCAGGGACACGCAGAAGATAAAGGAAAGCGTAGGAAGCTGGACTGAAGTGAAGTCGGCGGCCATTCGCCATCACGTCCTCGTCACTACCACGACCATAACTTCCACAGCCAGCGTCTGATTGCCGCGGTGAGGCGAGGTCCTGTGTGGTCGCCCTTCCATTTGGCCTGTCCTCCTGCCTGCCATCTTGCGCATCTTGCCCAGCGCCTTACTCGTTCGAACGGTTTTCGGCCTCGACTGTTGTCAATCGCTCTCTCAAAGATCCACATGTACTCCCTTCCAGGGGACAACTGTTGCGTCTGGCCCTCACGACAAGCGGCCAGGTGGGGGTGCGTTCGAACGAAGGAGAGAGTTCTGGCGATAGCACAGATAGCAGTGACTGCGGGAGAGGAGAATGGAGTGCAGGTTCGTGGAGAACGGTTCACCAGGGTGGACTTGGGCAGAATGCCCCTCGGCACGGGAAGGTCTGGGAAGGAAACAGCGATTTAAGCACTACAACGAATACTATTGCGACGCACGCTAGATCGTACACCTGCCTTCCCATCGAACATCCAAAGCATACTGCTATATGCGATAAAGGAAGCGGTACTAACATGCTTTCTTATTCAACATAATTCATGAGTGTGTGTCAACGGTGGTTAATGTGTGATAAGTTTCTGTTATTTTGATAAAATCCATTTGTTGTTGTTGTTGTTGTCATGAGCTTTGTCAAATATAAATTAGGACTAGTTTGATGTGACGGAATCGTTCGGACTTCGGTCGAACTTCGGACTTCGGTCATATCGTTACAAACATTTATAAAAAGTGCATATCCTAAAAATCTGCTATTGTAAATTGTGACAGATATAATATTATTAACACATAACTGTTTAGGCTAACTGCGGCAAACTATTTAGTTATAAATGTAGTGGTGGCAAGGCCTTTGGTTCGGATGGTCCCGTTATTGCTGCCTTAGAAGCCGTCGTGCATATCTCCTAGATTCCCGGTTCCCTGCAGAATCTATAGTAAACTTCCTATAAAATATATATAACTATAAAATAAGTTCCATTAAGGGTTTAGCAATGAATTGGGGCAGACAGCACAGGTGCGAGTGCTGCAGATAATTGTAGTAGACATTATGAAACTCGCTGCCTTCAGTATCATCTTGAAGAAGCCTGGCAAGTTAGTCCAGATGAAGTTGTAACAATTGCCTCGAAGTAGTCCAGTTCTGTTAATGGCGTAGTGGGTGGCGTGTTTGTACGATTAAATTAAGGGAACTAAAGGCTTCAGTATTTTTTGTGTACTGCTCACATTCTATGAAATAGACCTCTGAATCTTTTACATCCGATGTACAAAATAGATAACTATAGATGCTTTCGAAACACAAAATGCATATTTATATCAATCCTGGTTAAACATCTATTATCAAAAATTAGTTGACCTTTTTATTTCTTACGTGCTGTGTCTATATATAACAGCGATGAAAAAAATAACGTTTCCGAGTTAATAAAATTTTATTAATAAGAATATCCCAAAATTTCAAACGTAAACGGGTAACTTGTAAGTTTGGCCATTTGTACACGACTATTATTTTCGTCAGCAGTAGATTCATTTGCTGGTACTTTATGAAGTGCTCGTTATTTTTTGTCTTTTACAGCAATAAATAACACCTTTTAGAAACGATTGCCATTGACGGTGCCTTCAGATTTGATCCGATGTCTTCGAATTGCGTTCCACAAGTTGGCTAGATGAACAGTGGGCATAAATCAGCTTGTGACAATGTCCTGTTTTAGCAACGATTGAGAATTACGGCTTACCTTCGTGATTCCCCGAATGGCCTTACGAGAACACTACATTGAGAAAATGCCATCGATAAACTGGCTTACGTTTTTTGTATTGCTTTTATTTTAACCCAATTCAATAATAGTTGTTCAAAATATGAAATAGAAAAAAATACGTATCCTCGTATTAAACTAGCTACTATTTCCATAAGGCTAAGACGATAGGGATTGTATTTGACGCTGAGAGAGAGAGAGAGAGAGAGAGAGAGAGAGAGGTAAGCAAGCTGTTGACGTCAAGCGAAACTGCTTCGAGCGCTTTAGTGCGTACGGTTTCGATAAGCAACAGTTATTTGATATACGGCAGTAGCCAGCGTATGACGATGTTTTGCAGACTCTCTCTCTTTTTTCCGTACGGAATGACGACATATAAAAAAAACAAAAAAAAAAAAAAGAGTACTATTTAATCAGGGATGCGATTTTTTTTTAAATAAGCAGATTCTACGCAAGAAAGGACCAATGTACAAATTGAACTTGTTGAATGGCAACATTAAGGTTAACTAGGTTTTGGCAATTATGTCTCAAACCTCGTAAACGAAAAGTATTCTTAGGCTCCATTTTTGACTCGAAACATAGCGCACATTATTATGGATCACATCTAAAAGAACAGCAGACCCTTTGTTAACTCCACTCCATATCAAATAGCCGTGTAACATTCTTTCGACAATATGTTTGAACAGGGAGTTTCAATCTTGAGAGCCTGAGCAGGAGGAAGGACCACTACTATATATTCAACGTCTTTTCCATTGTTCGGATTCCTACTAGGAGGTCAACCGTGCTTACGCCCGGATTCGAACCGAGACTACTTCACATGTCTCCAATATGAGTAAGTAAACATTCAAGTTCTATTCGCATTACTATTAAACATTTTTGTTCAGATGCATCCTATGCGGCTGGAGTGTAAACACGTAAAAACAGGAGTTGATGGTCCTTTAAAACAGGCAGAAGTTCGAAAATTAGCCTATGAATGAACCACCTGCGGAGACGTCTTCATTCGCCTAGAAATCCGTGTATTGTCCAAGCATTGAACGAAGGTAATCCGAAGAGAACGAAGGACTTTTTTTAGTGGTCGTCTTCGAAACTCAGCAGCATAACGAGCTGAATACGCAATAATTATACTTCTACCAACCCAATGTTGTTCTACTATGAAATGGGCTTAAATCCATTACATTACTCCGATTAATGGGAGTCTATATAAAGGAAGCGACAACTTTATGGATTTTATCGACTGATTTTTTGACTCTGAAGCCATTTTTTACAAGATTAACTTTTCTGATACTCCACCGTAAATTACCACAACTTGCCATATCACGTACTGCTTGTCACGTTTTTTTTGAACTAGCGACGTTGAGTGCTATAAGGACCTGTCTGCCAGTGATGCCCATCGACTAAATAATACGCCGTAAATATGACCTGAATAGTAGGATCCGAAAAATTCCCCGCAAGTTTGTAAAATAGACAGATTGGCTGTATTTAGAAGTTTTCCCTTTAAAAACTCGTACACTGCAATGATATCCTGGTAAAATGCCCTACGTTGCAATATCGTTCCTCTATGGCAGCTACTGCCGGTTAGCATAACTACATAGCAAAAAGGTTGCTGTTTTTTGAAAATAATGGAACCGATATCAGTAGCTTATCCATACGACTGTTAATGAACTTCTCAAGTAACTTACGAAGGAAGACCAACACAAATCTAGCTGCAAAAAGGGGTGTAAGTAATAGTCCGAAGCCTGCAGATGGTCATTAGACTGAAAGCGTGGTTTCCATACGATGATAAGTTTCGCCGAACATATTACTGTATCCACTTTGCGGAAAGGGCCGTAAATTCGGTAAGTTTTACTGTAAAACTTAGTCCATACCGTCCGTAGGGGGGAACCAGAGGGAAATAATTTTAGCAATTGGATATTCTCGTAATTCTAATCATGTTAAAGTAGCCTCACAAACACAATTGAAGTAGCAAGACAACATCATTGACATGTTGCGTCCATAGCCGACAATGTGACTAACTAGTCAGTTGGGGACGCAAAATCGTTGGCGTCGTTCTGCGAGACCTAGATGAATGAAGTTTGCCATTCTCTAAATGACCTCACTCATTGACTTAATCCAGTAACACGGATCAATACGCCTAATCGGCTATCGTGAGATTCTAATATCCGAGCACTCTGACTAGTCGTATGTACAGATACCAGCAGGTGTACTACTTGAAAAAGACGTGATGCCGTTCTCGTTAATAGAACGCACGTAATCATTCTGCTATACAAAACGCTTTCCCACACCAAGTAAACAGGGCAAATACAGACCTATGACAGATCTTTTGTTAACTTATTGCCGTTATTTTGTCCGTAGCGATCCTCTAAACAGATCCATTTCAAGCCCGATGAACTTTCGATAGTTCGAACTTATTTAGTTGACAACTATCGCGCGTTAATTCTATGCGATTATTCAAGGGAATTATTCTCTGAAACAGTCACTTCTAGCTTCTTGAACTACAGTTGTCTTGAGCAGGACACCTGTATTTGGCCTGACACAAGGGGGCGGTGTGGCCTAGATGCTAATGCGCGTTTTTTCGAGTTGCCATACTGGCTCTGAGCATGCGACTATAGCTAGTCCAAATTTCAGTGTTGGCATATTGTTGCCGTGCTACTTCACAGGTCTGTTGAGAGAAAACCCGGATAAGTTCAGTAAGACCCAATGTGAAGTAACGCCCAATGGCTTATATACCCGGTGTAGAAGCGACACGTACCATTGGGTATACCGATCGGAGCATGCACAAACGTGCTTTAAATATATTCTAACTAGTTCACGACAAGACATATAATACATACGTATGTTTTCAATGTATAGAAGGTCGCTACTTGCAACGCAGTTAACATGCTAAAGTTAAATTGTATGGTTACAGTCATTGATTCTCAGAACTTAGAAGGGCTTTTAAGGAGCTCACTGTAACATATGTGAGATTAATATATATATATGTATATATATACGATAGGAGGAAGTCTGGGCCGCAGCCCGAAGCATAAACAAGTGAGCGAAAGTTCCTATTAGGTGGATTTAGATTTTCATTAAGATGAGATTTTTATACAATTAACAGTTTGTTGACTATTAAAACGAATACTAACCTATAGAGAACTATAGTCGGAGAGTTCGACGGACGTCCCAAAACGTAGTTGCTTCGTAATCCTCTAATTACGTCTATTCGGAATGAACATAGTAATTTATATTTAGAAAAACAACAACTTGTTGACAATAGTAGATCTCTATTCGTATATATACTACAGTGAGCTAAAAACACGAAGGTCTCCAAAGGCCTATGTAACATTTCTGAGGAATCGCTGCAGGCCGAAGAGGAACGCCCAGGCTTGAAATCTGCATTTGCGAGTGACGATTCGGAGATATTAGGCAGACGAAATAATATCTAGTATCTAATATTACTACATGAGTGTTTTTTCAATCCTTTTGTGCATTAAGCGCATGTAGAAGTATTGTGTATCGCATGATCCTTTCCCTGAAATAACCGTCCCTTATCATTGGTAATTCGTGAAGAGAGCGTTTTTCTTTAGTGGATAACATGTAGATTTTTTGATTTTTCAGTGGGTGAATTTTTCAGCTTTTGTATTTACCACGACCGTAGCAATGAAAGGATTCTCGGCACAGAAAATCTAAGTATAGCTCAATAGCGCGTTCGTAGAATCGATCATCTCATCGTAGCTAAGCCAATAAGCGTAAGCCAGAAAACGGAAGGAACGCACGCTACAGTATTGAAACTAAATAGAACCCCCCATACCTCATCTACGGTATTGGACGGACCCACTACCGTTAGACTACAGGCGCCTGAAAGACTAGCTCAAAATGCAAACATTACAACATCTGAAGATGTCCTAACGTGTCGTAATAGCATGTACATTCTGATTTCGCTATAATTCTATAGAAGGCGGCTACAATCGAATGGATAAAGATTACGGCCAACTCTAAAAAGCATACATTTAACTGCACGATTCACTTTATACCCGTTACGTCTGCGACCAGTTGTCCGATAAAAAAAAATCTAGCTTTTAACTTACAACGCTTACAACGTTAAACAACCAGCGTCGTCCATAATCTCGCGGAATCATACCAACCAAAAAATGGTACTCGCCGCCTTCAATCTTGGTGTTTTCTTCTATAAAATCGCTTCCCTTGACGTAAGCCGCTTACTGCCATCGCTGATATAATAAACTGCGTTAAAAAAGTTTATTATTGCTTGCTGGCGATACCGCCTCGCCGCAGACCGACCGGCATCTGCTGGCAAAGAAAACTCGGCATGGCAGATAGGCAAGCGGTATGTCTGAACGAGTCCACTTTACGTATTTGGAATTGCGTGGCAGTACCTTGTTCGCGATACTAATCATCCGAACGAGCATATTTGATCGAGAGCGATTGACAGTGCCTGTAGTCTCGCTGACAAGCTCGAAGTGACGACCCATCTAAATGGGTCAATTGCAAGTGTAGAATCACGAGCTAATCCTGCCTTTCCCCAATGCCACTTTGTATCTTTCACGTATTATCGCCTACGATCTAATGACGGCAAGGCTCACATCGAAGCAGCTAGATGACTACCAGGTCCAATCCTCCACTGGCCTTTAGGCCAGCCTGCCTGATGCGAAGTATCTCAAGCACAGAAACAAGGCGAAAGCGTGATGCCTTTTTTGCTAACGGACAGCGTACCGATGATATTGATTATCATTATAAATAAGCCGTTTCTAGTAAGAGCTCACACGTCTCTCAACTGCGTTTGACGGTGTTGAAAACGTTCTATCTAAACCATTGAATGGAGCTACAGACACAATTGTATTACTTTTTAGCAGTTCAAACTGCATTATCGGCTGTCCACCGCTCTTGCAGCCACCCATGGTGACAGGTTTATGTTGTGCGATTGCTGAAAGAAAGCTCTTTTCTTACGATGTTTCAATTTTTTCTTACGATCAATCGCTCGAGACACAGCTGTTACATTACCCTTTGCAACGGGACGCCCTTACTCTACCTCACCAGTAATGTGCCGTCGGTCACACGCTTGAAAATGATCGTTTTTCAACGTATTCAGGCCTGACGCAGATATAGATGTTCTATTGCCATCGGGATACACGCCGAAAAAAACGTTACAAATTATTGTTTGTTTGTTTGCCTTATTGTAACATAATCCAGGTGTGCGTTTTATTATGAGGCCAGTAAGTCATTGGGTGCAGTACACATGAACGGAGCGCAGATAGCATATAGCTAAATCCCTGCTTTTGGTGGAAGCTCTTTTCAGAGAGAACGTAGTGTTACCTACGCTACGTGGCGACCTCCGTGTTAAGTAGCGAAACTGCCCCTCAGTGCTATATATCGGTACCTAAAATTGAATTTTGCATTGCTTTTTATGGTCAACTCGAGAAATTTACTGGGCGCTTAAGTCGTCGATAGGTTAGCTTGTGTCGCCCATGGGCCATTGTTGTGCTTGATTAAATAATGCCGTACCATATAAAACTAGACAATACGATACGAAATTTTCGTCTACTCACAGAACTTCGGTCTTGACAATGCTCAGATTTACACAAGACATTTTACGCTGTAAGATGATCACAATTTTTTATGGCTGCAGAATGTTTTTCTAATACAGAATTACTCAATTATATTTATGATGCTTTAAAATTTCCGTTACCAACTCTCTCAACCAAGAACCTTTTAGAATTACCAACAATAGAGTTTTAATGTTGGCTAAAGTAGAATGGTAATTGCCGAACAAAACATTCAGACTAGAGAAGACTGGATTTCTAATACAGAATTCGTTTCCGACAGAGCGACAGCTTATATATAATGCCCACGAAGGTTGCAGGCATGGCACGGGGAATCTCACATTGTTTCTAGTGATCTAAGCTATGTACGATGTACCTAACTATGGTGAATTGGTTCCGGTAGCAGGTTAACCGGTAGCGTGTTGCCTGCTAATTGTTGGGGCACGTTATAGTCTGGGAGTAAGTGGGATCTGGACATAGACACGCTTCGTTCCGTGCTGGGAGCCCGCCGTCTTATGGAATACCTAACGGCGACACTGTGCCTGAAACACGAAATGTAGAGATATGGCGAATTTTATGACTTCATTGGTCGATTCGTATACTATGGCTCAGCAGCATATTCGTATAATATATTTCGGCCAGCTGACCGCTCCAGATAACTTCTATGCACCTAAAACGGATTTGGCACAGTTGCAAGCAAAAACTTGAAACTAACAAAAATTTGTCAAGAAACTTCAGTAGCGACCTTGTTACGGGAAAGGCTCAACGCATTGCTCATATGGGAAGAAGTCCTTCGATGCTAATCATTTTTAGAATTTGAGTCACTTTTAGAGGTGCACAGTCTTGATCTTTTGTTGACCATGCACGGTCGCCATAGATGAGGCTTCGTTTCATCTTTACCGCCAGCCATCGAGAGAGCCCGGCGTGAGTACGGCGTCGTTCTGGAGGTAAATCGATCTCAAGTGGCAATCTTGAGTAGGTTTGGTCGTAAGATGTTGATGGTACTTGCAATGGACATCGGGAACATCTCTTTTTATGAAATAACTGCCGAAAATTAAGAAATAAACGCAAGTTACTTAAATTCTTCAGAAGGCTTATGGACCGTTGACGTGGTGATGGAAATCACGCAGTCTGGCCATTTGATGCCAGGGCGCATTGCCATACCTTAGTTACTTCCTGGATTGAGTAAAGGAATACTTTATATTTTCTTTAATCCACTGACTCTCCCGATTTAAATCTAAGTAATTACGGGGTTATCGTTGGCTACAAGTGGCAATTGGTAGGCAAGCATATCCGATTATCGATGTATCCTGAGAAGTCGTAGGAAATGCCAATATGGAAACGTCGATGGAAAGTATATATGGCTGTTCAGAAACTGCCACAGTTGGGACAGAATAAAAGAAAAAAGAGTAAAAGAAAAAAGTTCATTGTTTTGGCGCATCTAGTCCAAAAGTTGTTCCAGAAGGAGAGGGAGAGAAGGAGGAGAAAGTGGGCCAGATTCGCTTAGAATAGCCTAAAAAACACGGTCTCTTTTCGCAAAACGCGCAAGTGATTCGGGATGCTGTCATCAAAGATCTAAAGCAGAACACTAAAAACATCATCTTAAGGTTGAAGATAAGTCATGACCTTCATCGAATCGTTAAGCATCGAATTTGCTTAACTCATATGCTCGATAGGACCCTTCAAAGGTCTAGGTAATAATTTACGAATCTTACATTAAAAATATTCTGTCGTCTCAACAGCATGTGTGTTCTATCTTTTGTTTTATAGACTAAGACACCGTTTTAGCTATAAAAGATTACACATTATAGCAAAGGTTAAATCCACCTAATTTCATCCGTATCAGCAGTAAAAATTAACACATGAGAAGCTTTTTGATTTTACAGTAGATTTTATAGTCTAGATAGGAAAGATCTCCTCCCGTGTCACGCCAATGATCCTATTAACTACTTGCGGGACTCAGGTCTGTTGCCTGTCACATACAGTTAATGCGGGTGAGGTGATTATGTTTCTGAAGCATTACGCTTCCCCTGGCAACACCCCAAGCTCTTAGGCGTCGCTAGTCGCTAAGAGCTAGCAGTCCACAAGCAGATGATTTATCCGACACGCAGTCGTGCGTTCCGGTCGCCTCTCTTGTATTTGCTCGTACACAGTGTTTCAAGGTGCATAGGGCACAAATGGCTTGATTCAACTTTAAGCCGTAAAAGTAAGTGTGAGTAACTTGTGGAGCAACCGCATTGGTTGATTCAATCGAAGAGTGACGGTACAACAACGAACTACTACGAGGCACATGTGCTTAAGATAATAGTTAACTGGACGTGTGATGTAAGTGGATACGAACTAAGGTAGTCTGGAAGTGGGGGTTCAAGAGGCAACAGTCGTCATTGTGAGCCATTTTTTTTTTTTTTTTTTCAGAATCGAATCTAAGCTCACGCGGTCTATTTTTTATTTACTCTATAGTTCGAGATATGCAGGTTGATCGTAGTTCGCTTCGTATCGTAGACTGACAAAAACGTTGGGTTATGCGCGAATGATTTTGCCCTAGGTAGCTATAAATCATGAATAATGTATTGCTTTTTTTTTTTTACCATTATCCTAAGGTTATAACTTTTGTAAAATAAGCATCGTTAATAAATAAGATGTATGGTTATGTTTGTTCGTGAGATTTACTAGTTATATTTAGCTTCCCAATACTAGATGTTCTGAGCTTTACGTCCGACATCGCCTTTAGGCGTTCCACCGGACGGCTGGCTTCCATCACGGAACGGAATGTGTTTTCATCCGAATTCGAACCTAAACCACGTCGCTAAGATTAACATGCAAACATTTTACCCACAGAGCTATCGCGAGGGCTAATTCCACCATCCTAACAGGCGCTAACCGAAGTTTGAAGCTTTCTAGAAAAGCCGTTTCTAAGCATTTATTGTTTCTGATAATCATTTGTTCGATAGTGTAAGGCTCAAAGCAGCTGCCTACAGGTGTAGACCAAGGTTGCAAGTTTTTTTCACAGTCTTGCTTAAGAATTCTCTGGACTCTCTACAAATTAGGTGAAGATGATCTCCTGTGCAAACGATTTAGATATTCGCAATTACAATTGTTTCAACATGCTGCCCTAGGCAAATTGTTTCAGTACAGTCAAACTTGCCACTGATCTGCAATGGTATCCTAGTGGAAAATCTCGAGCACTTGAACCGAACAAATGCCTCATTCTTCAAGAGAGCCTTGGAGTTGCACTGGA